AGCAGTGTCTTGGACAATAATCTATACAAAATTTCGTTAAGATATCTTGTCAAATAAAAAAGTTTCCAATACAAAAACTTGATTTTGACCGGTTAGTTTGTATGACAACTATATGCTATAGTGGTCCGATATCGGCGATTCGGACAAATGAGCAGCTGCTTGGGGAGAAAAGAACGTGTGCAACATTTCCCATCGATATCTCAAAAACTTAGAGATATACAGTATATACAGACTAATGGCTAAATCGGCTCAGCACGTCACGCTTATCATTTATATATACACATATATACATTACAGGGTCCTCGACGTTTCCTTGTGGGCATTACAAACTGCGTGACAAACTTAATATAACCTATTCAAGCCAATAAAATATTTATAAATAAGTAATATTTAAATGTTTTGACTCACCTTTAAACGCTTATTGCGCACTGTAATGCCGTTTAAGCTTTTTATCGCTCGTTGTGAATCCGTTTCGGAAGCGAAATCAACAAAAGCGTAACCAAAACTGTAGCCAGTCTATATTTGAGAGATATAAAGAAAAACGGAAATTAAATAACATTCATTAAAAATTGTCACACAAAAATTATAACATAAAATAATACAAGCAAAAAAAAATAAAAAATAGATGAGTGATAAAAGGGAAAGCACTGCAGCGCACTTCAGCCGACATTCAAATCGTCAACATCCATCAGTGTAATAATATTAAAATGCTAAGCGGCATGCCGCAGTACTTTCTGCGTGGTGTGTAGATGAGAGGTACGTTGAAAGACTCATATAAATATATATATGTATTGTATGCAGGAAGGCAAACAGATAGTTAGGCCATCAAGCAGATTGCTACTATGACAGCTGTGTTTCGTGTCTGTGTGTGTTCGTGGTCGCAGTAATCCTGCTGAAGTGTTTGATATGCAGTGAAAGGCGCACGGAGCACTTACTACCTACGTACATACGTACGTATGCTTAGCACGTCGCGGCATTTGCGCGCGCGTTTGGTGTGTGTCATTAAATTTGACAGCTGACAGTTGACACTTCAAATGCAAAAGAACAAAAAAATAACAGAGTATGCAAAAAAGTTTGCACGAAAAATCAACTTTGCAAAGTGAATAAATGAATTCATAATAGATAAAGTAAATATAGAAACAAGTAATGCAAAAAGAACGCTGAATAACTGACATGGTGGCATTAAATCATTCAAAAATGATTGAGTGGGAAATTAAATTTGGGAAAAGTGTATATTTTTGGAAAGCGGTGGGAAATTTTGGAAATACACTCAAAATCAAATTTGACGCGAACAATTCCTTCGTGGAAAGCGCTTTTCGTCGAATGAAGACTGGTTGAATCCGGGTCAAATTTGATCTTGAGTGTATAGTGCATGGAATGACATGGAGTCGGTTGTGGTATGAACCTATTGCAGCTGATTTGGTATGCTGAATACCGGAAAAGTTTTGGAATGAAATGTCATTACCAAATCACGTGATTGAAGTATTTTGCGCAAAAAATAAAGAAATAATGAACACAGAACTACAGAAAATTTATACTTCTTTCAAATAAAACAAAACCAGTTTTTATATATACAGAAAGTTAGATAATGAAAGCTAATTCAAGTTATATTCATTGAATTCAGAATTAAATTTCGCTCAACAGTAATATGCCCAAGTATTTAGTATTGATAGACGTTTCATTAAATTTACATTTTAATTGCGATAACTCACCTTATAATCTCTCATTATTCTGCAAGTGTTTATAGGACCGATTGTCCTAAATAAAGCATAGAGTTCACGATCTGTCATATCCTGTGGTAGATAGTTCACAATTAGATTTGTGCCATTCGAGCCGCCGCCATGTCCGTCCCCGCCACCGCCGCCGCTACCACAATTCAGCGAATTTGTGCTGATGGCGGGCGCCATATTGTTCATGGAACCCATGGCGCTGCCGCCGCCACCACCACAGCTGCCACCGCCACCGCCGCCTGAAAAATCGTTATAACCGCGCCGATTCATTGATGGACCTGGATACGATGAGGTGAAATCTGTATCCTGCGGTGAAAACGCATAACGTGACTGAAATATCAATTCAAACAAACAAGGTACGAACATACAATAGATGGCGCTTTTGCTTTTCATACAAGTGTTCAAGTTGAGTTGTTTCAAGTTGTTTTCTGAAGGATATCACTTGGTAGAGCGGTACATACATACATACATATTGAAAATATTATTTTGTTGCATTTTTTTTTTTTTTTGTTTTGAGAATATTAAAATTATTAATTTAAATTGCAGTTGCAAATTTTGTTAAGAGCATTACTGAATTTTTGTTTTTATTGTTGCAAAATTTGTTTAGATATTTATGTATACCATACATATGTATAACTATTGTTTAATTTGTAATTTTTTTTTTCATAAAAATCTTTTCCTTTTTGTCTAAATAATTTTTGTACTCCAAAGTTTGCTAACCTCAAAAAATATACAAAAATATTATGGTGGTGATGCATGCTTATTTGCACAATATACACAATATGTACATGCTCGTGTATGACAGTGCATGCATACATACATACATATGTGCCATAATACTGCAGATATATAAGTTTCCAACCGTCTCATCCGCACCGCTGTCATGTGTAGCATTGTTCTTCCCTCTTTACCAATATTAAATATTAAAGTTGTGTGCTGTCATTTGTTTTTCCCTACTTGCCTTTATTATTTTTTACAATTTTTTTTATTTTTATTTTATAATCTTTCCGGTAAATAAAGCTTTCTGTGGCACTCCGCATACATAAATTGTGGGTGGCACTATTTTAGTAACATTTTGTATGCTTAGAACTCAATTTATATTCCCAAAGTGTATGTGGTGGGCATTATGCGAATACACAGTTCAACAGAGGAGATACGTGGCGTCTGTATTTTTGGTGAGAATTTTGTCTATTTAAGTATTCTACTGGAGTATGTTTGCAAGTTTGTTAATATTTTCGTTGGCACTTTAATGATAAACGCAAAGAAGTATCGCTAAATTCGGTTTACTCTTGCTGAAAGCAGATGTGCTGTCAAAAGGTTTAAAGGTTGTAAAGGGTTGCCAAACTTTGACTTTGAGCGAAAATATATATGGTATATTAACTTGTTTTTCATGTTATTGAAGACTGTCGCTGATAATAATATAAATACTTTTGAACAAATTCTATATTTCATAAAATATATTCGATTATTTAATTGTAGACATTGAAAGTTGATTGTAAAGTCATGGAAATATCTATAACATTCATCAAATTTTCCTTGTTTTGTGCAAATTTGGGTATTGTTGTAAATATCGATTATTTGTTTTGTGGAAATATCGATTGTTTTTAAATTAATATGCATAACGTTTATTTTATTATAGCTAATATTTCATATACAGCTATTATGTCGTGGAAACGTCGATTGTTTTAAATTAATATACAATACTTATGTAATATCGATTATTTTATTATCGATAATATTGCAGAAACAGCTATATTTCGTGAAAATATCGATTATTTTTATGGAAGTAGTGAATTTATTGGTTATTTTTATGGAATTTTATATTGTTTTATGGATATTTCGATAGTTTTGGGAAATATGCATTTTTATATATATAAAGTTTGTTATTAAATATAATAACTTAAAACATCGATTATTTTATGAAAGTATACATTTTTGTGGCAACATCGTTTATTTCTTCTATTATTTCGTGAAATTCAGTAAATTCGTGGAGATACAGTGTATTTTGTGTAGATATCGATAACTTGGGTGAAAATATATAGGTTTTAAATAAAATAGGGATTCTTATTTTGATTATCGATCATATTTTTTATGGACTCATCGATCATTTTATAAGATATCAATTATTTTATAGACTTACCGATATTTTTGTTATAAATTTATCTATTTTATAACTATATTTTTGTTAAAATTTATCGGCTGTTTTTGTTATAAATTTATCGATTGTTTTGTTATAAATATAACTATTATTTTGTTATAAATTTAACGATTATATAGTTATTAATTTATCGACCGTTTTTGTTCTAAATTTATCGATTATTTTAATATACATATATATCGATGATTTTTATATTTATCGATTGTTTTCTATATTGCCAATTATTTATAAATTTATCGGTTATTTTCAATATATTTATTTATATTAGATTATTTTATAGACTTGTCGATAATTTTATGGATTTATTGATTATTTTTCATGAATTTATCTATTATTTTTATGGATTTGATTAGTCATCCCTCATTTGAAATATAGTATAATATCGATAAATTATTTTATCTCAAATTAACTTTCAAATCTCTTGTCTCTCTTTGCAGCGGTGGGCGTAGGTGGGGCATGTCCCATTCTCTGCCATCCGGCATGGTACGTATACTTTTCATACTAAATATGTAGCAATTTTTGTAGTTTTTTGGTTTTAGCAATGAAAAATATATTAATAGAATACCTCTAACCTATTGATTTTCTAAAGAACTAAACTTTAATCTTGTTTCTAAGTAATTTATTTAGTTGAATTAGCAAATGCAACTAAAGCAAAATACTAATACATAGTTTGCAATTATGTGATAATGTAAAATGAAATAGAAATATGTATTTTCGGGGCACACTTTTCATATAAAGTATTTACGCGAGCAAATGTGAAACCGATTTTGTGCGAAACAAAAACACTCACACAAGTAAATAAAAGTTTGAGAACAATTACAAAATAAAATTAGCAAATATACAACAACAACACAACAACAAAATAAGCTTCATACAAACAACAACGAGGCATATTTGTACAAAAACCAAAAAAAAATACAATTAGCAAACAGTAATCACATTAGCAACAAGAACAATAACAACCACAAACAATAGTGATTCAACAATCATGCAATCACCAACAACAATAACAACAAAACAACAACACGTTAGTACAACAATTAATGACAGAGAAAACTAAAGCGGTAACGTGAGCAATCCGACAAAATGCCACCTTACACACACAAACACAAAAAAAGTTGATTCATAGCATATTATTCGAAATTTTTAATTTCTGATATTTGTGGTTTTACGGTGTTTTATCGAATTTTCCGTAGTATTACTAAATTTTAATAAATAACTGTTAAATTTTGCGAAATTTTGATCTGTTTTGAAAAATTTCAATTAAACTTTATTTCGATAATTTTTTATAAACTTCTGATAAATCTGGTTAATATTTGATTTATTTTGATTTTATTTCAGAAATGTTCGATAAAACACGATCTCCGATAATTTTTTTTTTATCTAAACTTCTGATAAATATTCTTAATATTCGATTTGTTGGGAAAAGTTTTGTGAAACATCATTATATTTTTCAGTCACCATTGCACAACTTACTTCATTAAATTCTCTTCAGGCATACCTCGTAACGTTGTAGTTTGTTTATTTTGGTTGGCTTCATTCCGCACGTTTTGACATTTGACTCAGCTGTGTTAGTCTGCGCATTGCTAGGAATCACGATTGCGCATAGCGTCTGGGTTTTGCCATAATATGCCTTAACGGCTGAAAATTAAGTTGATTTGGATTTCGTGTCAAACTTCGGCGGTTGCTTTCCGTCGCTGTGTGCGCATTGTGTATATGTGTGTGCACGGCATTTCACTTTTATGCCTTCCTTGCACAGTTTCGAGTGCGATAAAATTTGAAGCCGATGAAGAAGAGCGATAAATGTTTAGCAAAACTGTTTATGCCACTCTATATGGTACGTAGTATATATTTGTGTGTATGCTGAGATTTGTGGCTGCCATCTAACGTAAATATTTTATGAGACATGCAAAATGCACATTAGACTAATTGCTTATAGAAGATTTGCTAGATAAAATCCTCATTTATTTAATGTGAACCGTTTAGTGGTGGAGTTTAGACAAATATTTTTGGAGATTTGGCAAAGGCAGTAATTTTCTTAACCCAAATTGTTTGCAATGACTGACTTTAACTTGGGTGTTCTTAGGTCTTATTAAATAATAATATAAACTTTTAATTATTTTCTTTTAACGCCGCATGCCTGTGGTTTTTAATTTTTAAGATTTTCAAAGTTTGCAAGCCACAATTCAATTTTATTCATTTGAGGTCTTAACATACAAACTTCAAAGTCCAGTTTCAAAATCAGCTGATGACGTAAGGATAGTAATACATCATTTTAACACATTACTGTTGCTTAAATTCGAAAATGTATTTTCCTTTGTTTGTGAGTGCGTTCGCAATGTCACAAAGTGCAATATGAACTCGTTGAAAACTTTGCACACAACAGTGTCACGTGGTACTACTTTATGGAATGCATACACATACATGCATAATCACATGTATGTACATATTATATATACAGACATCGGAGCTTGTATCCTGCATCCATTCATTCTTATTTTATTTTCACTTTCACTTTATATTAACTACTACTTGTGTGCGTGTACGAGTATTGCAGCTTGCTTGCTCCGAACTTGTGTTGTCCTATAGGTTCGTGGTTGTCGTCTGTTAGCTCATTGTATGTTTTTTACTCAGCCATTTTAAGTTTTCTGATGTGCGTTTGTGTGTATGTACATATGTATTTCAAAATGCGAGAATTTGTTATCCTGTATGTGTGTTTGTATTTCAAAATAAACTCAGTAAGTTCTAAAACTTTCAATGTCAACTTATAGCCAAATACCCTAAAATTATGTCATGGACCTTTGCACAACTAGGAACATCTACTGCGAAGCGACACTGAGAGAATTGAAGAGACATGTTGTAACAGTCAGTGCTCAATTTATAGGAAAGGTGGTAGGCTGGGCTAGGAGTAATTCCATCATATTTTTGTTCAAATGTGAAATTTTATCGATTATTTTGTGCTAATATATTATGTGCTGATATACGATAATTATGCGCAAATATTCGATAATTATGTGCAAATATATCGATAATTATGTGCAAATATATCGATAATTATGTGCAAATATATCGATAATTATGTGCAAATATATCGATAATTATGTGCAAATATATCGATAATATGTGCAAATATATCGATAATTATGTG